GGTCCGGGCTGGGGATTCGAACCCGCCACCCTAGGTGTACGTGGCTGGCGCCTTAGCCGGCTGAGCCACAGGCGCCGAGCCGAGTTAATATTTTTATTCAAAGGGTCTCTCTAACAAACAAGACCCAGTAAATAGATGATCAAAGAATATGAATTTATAATCTGAAAACAAGAAAGTAGAACTGGATAACAAATGTGTAAAAATTTCTGGGCTCACGAATACCAGAGAAATGCAAGTTGATAAAAGGTGCCATTTTTGGCTCTGTAGTTAGTGATGAGTAAGCACCAGAATGGTCCTTTCTAAAACAGCCTGTGTGTCAAAAACCATAAAAATATTTCTACCTTTTTTTACCCTGTAATTCTACTTCTGGAAATTTTTCCTGAAGATATAATTCAAAATGGGGAAAAGCTGAAAGCAGGAAGACGTTCTCCATGACATTATTTATAACTGTGAAAAGATGGCAGGCGATCTCAAAAGCCAGTGAGGAAATGACTGAATAATTACGGGAAATCCATTTAGTAGACCATTACCAAGTTATTAATTTTCATGACTACAGAGACAGAAACGTTTTATACTTAGTAAAAAACATAGTGGGGAATATTTTATATTAAGTGAAAAAGTGGGATATAAAGAAGTACATACACTGTCATCTAAATTTGGTTTTTAAAAACATGTTTATAGATACTTATTATAATATGTGGGTAGAAAAAGAACTGGAAGTAAGCCCACTGAAGTGTTAATAGTAACCTCACTGGGTGATGGAAATTTGGGAAATTTTTTTAATACATTTGTCCATATTCTGCATTTTTTTCACCTAGATCATATATTGCAGTTAGAATAAAAATCTAAATATTATTTATTGGCTTGACGCCTGTAGCACAGTGGTTACGGCGCCAGACACATACACCAAGGATGGCAGGTTTGAACTGCAACAACAACAACAACAAAATACCCGGGCGTTGTGGCGGGCGCCTGTGCTCCCAGCTACTTGGGAGGCTGCGGCAAGAGAATCACTTAAGCCCAAGCATCTGAGGTTGCTGTGAGCTGTGACGCCATAGCACTCAATCAAGGGTGACACAGTCAGACTCTGTCTCAAAAACAAACAAACAAA